CTCAATGTACTGGTAACTGGATTTCTCGGCATGCGAGACCAGCGTGTAGAGATATTGCAGCGGATGCTGGTGGTAACTGGGGTTCTCATCATATTCATTGACGGGGATCTGCACCAAAAAGCCACGGACATCCTCCGGGATCTGCTGGACCAGGGCGAGAAGAGGCGGAGCAATGTCCCAAAAGGCAGACAGCTGGATTTCCACCCCTCGAGCCACGTTCTCCTCAATCACATCCAAGAATGACTCCAGGCGAGCCAAGGCACTGGCCTCGTGGTTGACTCGACGGTCCAATGCGTCTTTCTGAAAGAAGGCACGGGTTTCGAGCACCTTCTCATCGTTCCCAGCTTGCTTATATGGCAGCAGAACCACTGCCTTGTACTTCTCATCCCGATCACTGATGAGTTCAAAGACTTCGCGGTGTAGATTTTCTCTGGCCTCAAAGAGCCACTTGAGTTGGGTGAGCTTCTCCAGGAGTTCTGGTTTCTCGTCACCTTCCTCCTGTGTTTGGTCTGGCGTCCCACACCGCGCGTCGTCAAATAGCTTGCTGCGTAACTCGTCGATGCAAGATGTCGCACGTTCGATGCGGTCTCTCAGTATCGCGCGCATCGGCTTGAAAACCGATTCTTGAAAATCGTCTAACTGTCTTTGCACAACCTCTCTCTCCAGGGCGTCTTCCTCCACCAACAACGCTGCTTCGGCTTCTGCGGCCTCCGCGAACGTGATACTACCTTGTTGGATCTCGCTCTGAATGTTGGCCTTAAACTGTCGACGACCATTCTTGACTCGGGTTTGGTGCTTCTGAAATAGGACAGCCACCTCGGTCTCATGGCGTTGCCGAGTAGCTTTGATCTCAGATATATCGGTAATGGATCGAACCAATGTCCGATAACTTACAAGCTCGGGGTGACTATTATTCACAGCAGGATAATGTCGGGGGTAAGGTGGCGGTAGGGTAATAAGCCTCGAAACATCCATCTTCGACCTCTCTTCACGCCGTTCGAGACGGCCAATGCCATTGCGGCTCGGATGAACCGGCATTTCAGGCTCCTCATGCCACCCGACCTTCTCAGGAGGATATTCATCTGGACCGTAAGTTATGCGTTGGCCGGCTGAATCCTGGTCACCGCCAATGCCACTCCCGGAAAGACTCTGGCTTTCTTCAAGGAGCAAGGCCTCGCGCGGCAGACCCATGTATTTGCTCTCCCTCTTTGACCGCTGTACTCTTCTCTCCCCTCCTTCACTACTGGAGCCAGTTTTCGATTCCCACCAGCGACTAGGAGCACGTCCTCGGGAGCTCATCTCGTCATTGCTGAGACCCAGGCTGGCAATCGGCGAGAGACACGGCTGGTAATTATTCCACCAAGCAGACTCGGGCCGAGATTGAGGAATGTCCAGCTTGGGCTTGGGGACTGCTACGTTGGATACCCTCTTGGGGGGCATTACAGGAGCGATAGCAGGAGCCATTTGGGTTGTCTGCAAGGTCTTCGGTGGCAACTCGAACAGTTGCCGAACCACCTCATCCACGTCAAAGGAGCCCGTGTTCCAGACTTTAGCATATTTCTCGCGTCGGATTTGAGATTCCGCGATAATGAACTCCGTGAACAATTGAAGTGCTTCCTTCTCGTCCACAGCATCCGCCTCTTTCTCAATGAAAACCTGATGCCTTTGCGTCGCGTTTCGGAGGAACTCATCATCGCGCTTGATGACCGAGTCCAGAGAGGGGCCTTGCTGGGCTGAGAGGCGGCGCGGTGCCAGAGGCGATACGGCGGGAACACTGTCATTTGGCAAGTGCAGGATATGTGACACTGGACGCTCATCTTTGGCTCTCGACTGAGATGGCGATCGTTCCTGTCTCGGCTGAAGTGGAGGTGTTGGAAGGGTTTTTGACGGGAGCGCCGGCGACGTTCGCTTCGATCGTTCCGTGCCCGGTGAAAATGGCGGAGTCTGTGCATACCCAGCCGGGGCTCCTAGCGGGCTCGACTCAGCTTTAGGGGTCGAAAATGGGGATCGATTCGAAAACAGGCCTCCAGAAGACGCTCTGGATCTGGATGGCACTTGCTGCTGCATTTCGGAGCCCACACTGCGCGTACTGCGTGGCGTGATTTTGGCTGAAACCTGGTGTGGTGTTCTCTCCGATTCACCGTTGGTGTCCTCTAAGACCAAGTTGGACGGTTTTATCTTCTCCAGTGCTTCAGCCCACGGGTTACTGCTCATTGACACAGCACTGAGATCGTCCAGAACTTGACTCTGCCGGTTCCTGCGTTCAATCCGTCTCTCGCGAATGCCCTTGGCGTTGGGATCTTTGATGGCCGGGCTTCGAAAAAGACCGCCGCTGACAGAGCTTTGTGTTGTTTGAGAAGTATCATGCGATGTTGAACTGCTGCCAGAGGCAGCAGTATTCATAGTATCTATGCTCAGGGGCATCTTCTCGTTCTTTGGTCTGACTACCGAAATGGTTTCGTCCACCCAGCCAGCAGGTGTTGGTGGTATGCTATCGAGAGTGGTTCCTAGAGGCGGAGGCGCCCGCGCTTTCCCGGTTCTCGCAGGGACTTGCTGAGTGCGCGCAGACGACGCATCAGACAGCCCGTTCACACTTTGTGACCTTGTGCTCGGCGGAGGACCTGGAGGAGGTGGAGGGAGGGGCATTCCTGGCTCCCAGCCTTGTGTTGGAGGTGACCGACTTCGAGTCTGACTGTGAGCTCGGGATGAGCTCATGCTGCTCACCACAGGTCCCGCCGAGACGGCTCTTCGTGAAGCCGGAGGACGACCTGCATCGTCCATGCCGTCCAACCCTGGCAAATGACTGCCATTATTCGGTTGCGAGGCCCGCAGGCCCTCCGGTGAGACGACGACATACGGTCTCGGCCCTATTGATGCGGCAACCTGGTCCTGGTAAGGCTCTCCTCTGCTACGAGACGATGACCTGGATCCTGCGAGACTCTGCGGTAGCGGGGGTGGAGGAGGCAGGGAAACTCGTCGGTTCCGTCCAGATTCGTTTCCTACGAACATAGATATCGGGCGCGCCCGTGGAAGACGACGCTGTTGAAACTCCGAAGCTTGATCCATGCTCGGGCGCAATGCTCCTGTGTTCGAAGAGGTAGCACTCGGGGATGTCGAGCCCAAGGAGGAGGTGTTATGGCTGACATTATCTCTGGATTGCTGCTGGTGCTGATGACTTGGGGGCGAGTATGGAGGTGGTGGTGGTGACAACGATACATCTGCAACGATCACATTAGGCCTTTTTCAACTCCGGACTGGAACTGCCCACGTTATCTATAGCTGCAATGATGGAGAGGGGCATGGAATATAGAACGGGGATCAGACCTGAGTGAGGCCCCGATGAACGTGGCTGGGGCACAATCCTCAGCATGTTATTTGCCTGAGGATAAGTCTGTTGCCCCGGGTTCACTGAGGAATGTCCCACCGGACCCCAGTCCTGGGGGTTATAGGGCACGTTATACTGCCGGGACGACATGGGCGAAGATCCGAGGGCAAGTCCTCCAGGAGAAGCCACTACAGGAGACTGGCCGTGGGTGAACGGACTCGACAGAGATGTCGTCGAAAGAGGCGCAGGGGAATATGCTGCCCCCAGACCAAGTCCAAGACCTTGGAACTGACTATTGTTCAAGGCTGTTGTCAAAGGAGGAGGCTGCACCGCATGCTCGCGACGACGGGGTGAGATTTGGTTGCTGTTGCTGTGATAGGGACTCGGCCAGCTGCTCAGAGGTTGTGCACCAGACGCCAGCTCGTCGCCAGCATTGCTCGAAGACTGCCAACTATCGAGAAGGCTGTGATCAGCAACCCTCGGACCCTCGCAGCAGGAGATTGCCAAAGGGAGGAAACCGCGGGGTGATGAGTGAGTGAGGAGAGTGGGAGAAGCCAAGCACACCTATTCATACTCGTAACCGATCAAGAGGGCGATAGCCATGGCTGGGGAGCTGCGTGCAGGGCAAGATTACGGTCAAGCGTAGACACGAAGGAGGCGAGCCGACCAGACGATACGATAGGTGGTGGAGAGAAAGTCAAAGGGCTGAAGGGCCACAGGAGAATTCTATTCTTTGCAACAAGTTAGTCTCCAGGCCAAACGCGGGCCCCAGTGGCAGGGATTCGTCGACCGGTCCAGTTTGCGGCCGTCATCGTGGGTTTGGGATCCACAGAGAAGGGAGGGGGGAAAAGCAAGAAGATGAGATAAAGGACAAGAATAGAACATCAGGAGACGCATGGGTCCAGGGACAAGCATGAATGTGACGAGAGATGCAGCTGAGGCGGGTTGAATCACAGCCGGCGCGATCACTGGCGCTTACCCTCGCGCCCTCACAACCACTCACAGGCAGAGAGAAAGTGCCAAGGGTCTGTTCTTTGGGTCAATTCCAACTCCTCGTCCGACCCCAAGTGCTACAAGGAAATACAATTTAGGAATGATTAGGTGTAGTCAGTGTCAGAAGATTCTATTTTAATCTCAAATCACAAGCTTTTGACTAATGCACTCTTAAGAAATCTAGATGAATCTGACATTTGACAGCCCTCGCATCTTGCTCAGCTGCTACGCTAGTTTGCGTATCCTAGAAGTCACTGAACGCTATATTAGCATTTGATCATGTCTCTCATTCGAGATGCAGAAACAAGAAAAAGAAAAAAGTAACAAGTCTTCTCCATTTCAGATAAATGCCCTGTCACAGGCGGTGGTCATCAAGGTATTTCTTTATGTTGACCGTCGTGATAAATAAAGAATAAATCATCATTGGAAAGGAGGTGCTAAAAGACAAAAGGGGATCGAGTTCGGCTTACATTCATCTTGGGGAAGGTTGGAGCTCGAACTCAGTCAACATCAAGACCAAGTCAAGCTCCTACCTCAGGACCAAAGACTGAGGTCACGGCTACACGGATACCTGCTCAGTTTATTAGTCCTGAGCGTGGTACGTGAATGAGATGATCATGAAGCACGGCGACGAGTCAGTCATGACAGGTGTCGTCTCGGCCAGCAAAGCAGGCTTGGACATATGCTTGTCTTTGTTTTATGTCGTATCATCATGCAAGGAAGCCAGGCAAAGGGAAGAGGCAGTGTGACATACTTAAACCTCTTTCACCCAGGCAGGGCTAACCCAGGCACACTGGAATTGACAATATCTATCAAGTTGCGAGTCAGCCACGTCCAGTAGAGATTCGAGATGCAAAGATTCTCGCAACAACCATATCAGAAATGCATGAATGGTTAAAAAAAAGATGTTGTCTGCATGGATAACTCCAATAAGACTCGTCATCTAAGGGAATCATCATTGTGTTGGGGAAGGAACGGACAAAAACCAGGATATAATTACCTTTTGATATTTGATAGCAGGTGTTACCATGTGTGGCCTGTGATTACTTTTCAAGATGATCAGCCTCAGGCTATACATCAACGCTGACACGATGTGTGCTTTGAGCGAGTATCTCAGTGGGCGAGGTTTTCTAGGCCTGCCACAAAAAGGGCATATCCATCATGACCGGACGCTATGTCTTAACGCCGTCGGAGCCCAGTGCCGTTTCATCTTCGAAAGTCGCATCTGAAGAGGCAAGGAAAACGTGGATGGCTTACCCTCTTGGCTGTATTCGCAAGCATTGCCTGTGAAATAAAAACCTGTGAAAATCTTTTGAACCGTTAGCCAATGCTAAGTAGATTCATGAGGCTTGACAAGCAAAGAGTAGTGTAAATTGAATCAGATTTAGCCATTTGATTTCGTCCAGGACCCGAAGGCCTCAGTCGGTAATTTCCAGCGTATTTAAACGTTTAGAGCATCATATGAATAGTGGAATGAGGGGCAGTGCCAGGAATGGGGGAAATACACATACCATTAGTGAATGATGTTACGAGCGAGTCGTGGTCGAAGTGAAGCTAAAATGTAAGTGTTCTGTAGACTGATTAGCACCATGCCAGCAGCTCGACTGTGGTCAAGAGACAAGATCAAGTCCTTCGCAAATGCATCAGACTGACGTGCAAACAAGTGAGTTTTCATTCCCCGGATGGGTCAAAGACTCTAGTTTGAAATGTGGTTGTAGGTATCATCATAGAAGGATGATGGGAGAATGGGGATGAGGGGTGATCTCGATGCTGGAGTAGCACTTACCAAAAAAGAATCCTGTTCAGCGAAGAACCAGATGTGTCAGTTCCAAATGTGCATGGTGAGCAAATAGTTCTACAAGCTGTGTCATATCTGAAGCCACGATCATAATAGGCAGACAGACATTGCAACAGAGAATGTTGTTGTGATGGGAGAAAAAGCCACAAAGAAAAGCGAGTTGAACTTTTTTAAAGCTCTCCCGCCCGGAGCCAATTTTTACCGAGGAGTTAGCCTGCCTGCATGCGGTTAGTCGGCGTAAGCGAGATGCGCGTCGGCTGCTTAGGTCAGCCTCGACCATTCTGCCGGTGCAATACTCATAATCGGCAGGCGGAACGTGGAGCGGTCAGGCCTGGACTCGAGGAAGCTGAGGATCCTGGCAGGGAAAGATAGCCGAGACTCTCTCTCTCTCTCTCTCAGTCTTCCAGTCGGGTCTCGACTCTTTTCTTTCTTTCTTTCTTTGAATAGTTCGGAATAGTTCGATGCGGGCTGATCAATCTCCGCGTGTCTGCTGACCTGCCCAAACCCACTTCAATGCTCTCCTCAAACGCGAGGATACGAGTATTTTTCCTTCCACCTATTGATGTTGTTTTGTTCCTTGATGTCTGGATTATGACTGATGATTTGACTAGTTTGGGTCGAACCATTGCCGGTCGACCGAACTGTTGTTCCTTTTGAGTGCTGGAAACAACAATCGAGAGTCAATTGCGGTGGCAAGAATGTCCTTAACAGTAGTTAGTAAACAATAGCGAAGCTCAACATACACTGATCAATTGTAGAGCTTCACAGTCTGGACTCTCAGCTGGCCCAGCTGGCTATACATACTCTCTCGGTGACGCGGGGAAAGTCGGGGGTTTGTTGGTGCTTACTTGCGCTTACTTGCTTAGCCCTTCGGGCAGCCGGACAGGGACTGAAGGGAAAACTCGGGCTGCGACCGAAAGCGGAGAAGAGACGGGGAAATGACGAAAACTATCCCCATTTCAGTCATTTCAGTCATTGCGTCAATTGATAGTCTTTTCCCATCCGGTTTGTTCAAGTGACGTTAGCCAGAACCACTCCTTCCTTCCTCCCCGGCAAAAGATTGCTCCTTTTAAAGTCCGGCCAATGTTCCTCTTCTCAACTCCTTCACATACTCTTCTTATTTTCTAAAAAAACACTTGCTTGGATCAATTCCTCTCTCTCTGTCTTCTCTCGCCTCGCCTCGAAACCCCACTTCCATACATATACAGTACATATTCCCCCAAATCACCCCTCCTTCGGCACCACCCCTCTCCCCCAATCCTTAGTCCTTCAAACGACTATCTCCGTATCTTCCTGCTTTCTCCGTTGAACCGAGGTTGCAGTTTACTTAAAATCAATCTCAATTCCCACTTCGCCGGAATCGGAAGTTTATAGTTGCGCAGCTCTCTCTCGCTCTACTACCTTTCTCAACTCACTCCCCCACATACACACGCACATCTACACATCATGGCTTCTGGTGCTCCCCCTGTTGGACAGGAAAACATCAACACCGACATCGTCACCCTCACCCGATGGCTCACTGAAGAGCAGGCCAAGGTCCCCGAGGCCACCGGTGACTTCACGTGAGTTTTGTCCCCCCCCCCCCCCGGCTTCCTTCCCCTCTTCCCCTCCCGGCATGTGCGCGCGCGCATAACTCCCAGCAACCTTGCGAACCCAAACACTGAATACACCAAACTCGTACAGACTTCTCTGCCACGCTCTGCAATTTGCCTTCAAGTCGATTGCCTACTACATCCGTCGCGCCTCGCTGATCAACCTGACGGGGCTGGCGGGCTCGTCCAACACGACGGGCGACGATCAGAAGAAGCTTGACGTCATCGGCAATGACATCTTCATCGCGGCGATGAAGGGGTCGGGCAAGTGCCGCATCCTGGTCTCCGAGGAAGAGGAGGAGACGATCATCTTCGACGAGCACCCGGACGCGCGCTACGCAGTGGTGTGCGACCCGATCGATGGCTCCTCCAACCTGGACGCAGGCGTCTCGGTGGGCACCATCTTCGGCATCTTCCGCCTGCCCGACGAGGTGCTGGGCGCCGGCAAGCAGGTGACGGCCAAGGACCTGCTGCGCGCCGGCACGGAGATGGTCGCCTCCGGGTTCACCATGTACGGCGCCTCGGCCCAGCTGGTCATCACCATGCGCAACGGCACTGTCAACGGCTTCACCATGGAGAACTCCCTGGGCGAGTTCATCCTCACCCACCCGGACATGCAGCTGCCCGCCAAGCGCGCCATCTACTCGGTCAACGAGGGCAACAGCATGTACTGGGACGACTGGTGCAACGCCTACTTCCACTCCCTCAAGTTCCCCGGCGAGGGCCAGAAGCCCTACAGCGCCCGCTACATCGGCTCCATGGTCGCCGACGCCTACCGCACCCTCCTCTACGGCGGCGTCTTCGCCTACCCCGCCGACAAGAAGAGCCCCAAGGGCAAGCTCCGCATCCTCTACGAGTGCGCCCCCATGGCCATGCTCTTCGAGAACGCCGGCGGTCTCGCCGTCAACTCCCGCATGGAGCGTCTCCTCGAGGTCGTCCCCGAGCACATCCACGACCGCAGCGGTGTCTTCCTCGGCTCCAAGGACGAGGTCCAGAAGATCATCGACACCTACAACCAGCACAAGAAATAAATTCTTGATTAAGCAAAAAAGGAAAAATAAATACCCCCCTACTGCAATCAAATGGGTACGGTGCTCCGGGGCTGGCCAGGGAGTTCTTCTTCAGCATGTCACGAGTTACGTTGTAATTAACGATACGCTCTAAAAACAAGTGAAATTCAAGAAAAACATTTCAAAATATCCAGCGTCCTTTCAGTTTACTGTAGCTATCTTCCACCCTGCTATCTTAATCTAGGAAGTGGATAAGTGGTAAGCTTGTACCTAGTATAGTAGTCGTTGTCACCTTTTGGAGCATTTCCTTCGACCTCCGCCGTAATATATTTCCACCAATGAGAAACTACTTGTTTCGATCGGCCCTCTCAGCCAGCCCTCCCCTCTCTTCCTTAAATTGGTCTCACTTCCCAATCATGACCAGGCGTGTACGTCCCAGGGAATCAGCAATCTTTGTTCCCTTGGACATCGGCTCAATCCTGATTTTTGGTTTTGAAAAGAGAGCTCGACAGCAGTGGGGGATGATGTCATCTATCCCACTCTCTACTACCCACCCGTTCATCCGCCATCCAGAAAGGCAGAAGTTGATGTAGGGAGTACACTGTCTAAGGGAGCAATAATTCCTACGATATGATTGCAAGTAACGTATCGTATGCTCTAGTTACTAACCCGAGCGAGTAAACGGTCTAATCCAAGACAAGACGCTAGCTAGGAACAGAGGACATACACGGGAAAAACGAAAGGAATGTACAGTACAATCTGCGACTGTGATCAACAGATACAGACGACCACCCGACCAAAAGTAAAAAAACAAAACTAATCCACCGGATCCTCCTCGAGGAGGGTCTTGAAGCTGAACGGGCTGAACGGCAAGCCTTCGCCCATGAAATGCTTGCTCATGGCTTCGACCCAGTGCAGACGGAGCGAGTGCAGCATGGCACTGGTGCCTTCCATGACACACAGAATCGCGATGGTCAAGGTGAACCAGAGGTAGAAGGTGACCACGATCATGAGGACGCGCATGGTGCCGGACTCCTGCTTGAAGGCGCCGCCGATGGTCATGTCCCACAGCACGATGGACAGCTGCTGGTGGGCCAGGGAGAGCGCCCACAGACGCAGGTACGACGCGGTGTGGGAGATACAGTTCAGGCAGAACTCGATCGTATGGATCACCTGGTGGATCATGATCTCGGAGAAGTCGAACTCCTCGTGCTCCTCGTCGCCGATATCCTGGGCGATCATCGCCACTCCCTCGCCGTCGCTGGCCAGGCTGTCGCGGCCTCCGGGGGCGCGGCCATCCAGGTCACCGTCATCTTCCAGTGCGCTAACACGAGACTGCTCGCCGAGACCCCGGTATCCGAGAGCCCGAGCACGGTTGTGCTCCCAGCGGAGGTAGAATGGCTTAAAGAAAAGCATGATGGGCACCTGAATGACTGCGAGGAGCAGAAGAACGACCTGAACACCAGCTTGGCCAGGATACAGTTGCTCCTCGACAGTTCCAGGGCTGAGGAACATGAAGATGAGCATGTTCAAGAGACCCGGAGGGGACTGTCCACGAGCGTCCCAGTCCACAGACCACTTGTAGAGGATGGTGAGGACGAGGTAACCGAAGATAGACTGGAAGAAGATCATTCCCGGGATGAAGTTACCAAAAACATCGACCTTAGACTTGAAGTGACGCGCATTGACATATTGCAGGCATAGAGCGTAAGTCATCTGCCGAGAGTTAGGATAAAAGTCGTTATCAGATGGATCAAAGGACAAGTACTTACATGGGACCAACCGAGAACGATACTCATCTTCATCTTCAAGCTGTTGGTGAAAAGCAGGGAATTCTCCGCGCCGTGCCAGTTCCAGTCGAGACCGAATGGATAGCGATCGCTGCCCTTCAGCGCCGCGTTCACAGTCTGTCCTTGCTGGATGTCCTCAGGCCACTTCCAAGCACTGGAGAAGATAGTGAATGACTTGGAGAAGATGTCGTTGTAAATCAGACCCGTGTACATGGAGAAGATACCCATCATCAACATGATGTAACGGCCGTAGAAAGCCATGTACGTCAATTCATCCAACTTCGTCTTCTGCAACTTGCGTTCCCAGAAGATCATCGCAGAGGCCGCCAAGAACATCAGTGTACCATGACCGAAGTCACCGAACATGACTGCGAACAGGAAGGGGAACGTAACGACAGTGTAAAGACCGGGGTTGACTTCGGAGTACTTGGGAATACCGTAGGCATTGACAATAGTCTGGAAGGCCTCGGTGAACTTGTTCGTGCGCATGTAGGTTGGGGGCGTCTTGTTGGTTCGGATTTGGTTGACAATAGTGGGCACGCTCAATCCAGCACGGTCGTTGACATCCTGCAAGGTCGACTTGATCAAGGCCAATGAATTGGTCGGACACCAAGCCTCGGCAATGAGGGTCTTGCGAGCTTGATCGTAAGAGAACTTGTTAAGAGTATCATAAACTGCCTTCTCCTTCTTGACAATGATCATCCAAGCTGCGAGCGAGCGAGCGATCTGTGTAAGCTCCGCGTCGAGCGTGTTCTTCGTGTTGCGGAGGACGTTCCCAACGTCACTCAAGCGGGTGTTGACCTCGTGGATTTGGTCGCGTCTGAGTTCGCTGTTCTCATCGACATTGTACAACGAAGCGCCGAGAGACTCGGAAATCTTTCTGATCTTGGCGATGATACTCTTTCCATGGGCGAAGATGACGAACACGTTCTTGTGAGACTCCTCGTTGGTCGAGGGGTCGATGATGGCCTCGGGGATCTCAGACTGGTTCATATAGAGGTTACCACGCAGCGTACGCCACAAGATTCGCTCAAAGGCGCCAATCCGATCCCGGGGAATCACACCCGCCACGAAGCCGATATTCATCTCCAGGAAGGACTGTTGGCCCTGCGCATCGCCGTTGGTACCTTGGTGTTCGACGTCACGAAGTAGTGGGGCCTCGTCATTGTCGAAAGACTGGCGAATCTCTTCGGTGTGGCTGTGGGCGCGATCAAAGAAACCACCGGCCTCCCTCAGAACCCAACGCCACTCTGTGAGTTCCACCTCACGCTTCTTCAAGGTCTCGTAGCTGTCGTTCAAAGAGGCAATCCGCTGTTCGAGACTTTCGCTCCGTTCTGCCAGTTCATCGATCTCCGAAGCCAAGGGCGCTGCCAATGTATCCGAGAATTCAGAGGAGGACCTCATGGGGATGCTCGCCTTGTCCATCTGACTGTGGAAATAGCCTGGCACGAGAAACAAGTTAGTGTACCGCCTCAGCTTCCCGTTCTTGACTTCATTGTGTCACATACGCAGCTGTCTCTCCACATTGTCCAATCGGCGGATTTCCTTTGTGAAGGTACGTTGGAAGGCATTGGTGTCGGGGTTGAGCTAGCGGCAGCCAGCCGGTCAGTCGAGTGACATCCGTAAATGAGAGATATTGATGAGACTTACATCTCTGAATTCAACCTGACCAAGTTCACCCAGAGCACTGACAACCTCTCTACCGATTTCATTGGCAATGTAAAGCTGGGTCAGGCTCATGTCCGAAGACCGGAAGAAGGTGTCCCTTGGAGCCATGGTGACGGGGGAAGCTGCCTGCAGCAGTACCTATCCACAGCAAGGACTAAGTGCGCAGTGGCGCTGTTATCAGAGAATGTATAGAATAGAGTAACGATAGAAGCTTTCGTATGATAACGAAACAGCTTTGAGCTAATGGAAAGAGCCCCGACGCCTGAGTTCGGTAGAAGCTCGATGATGCACTTGAGATCAAGCCCGGTTCGGAGAGCCGCGTGGCTGCTTCATGTCACATGACATGGAAGCCACCACTGTCAATTACTAAGATCTGACTAATCGAATAAGGTCTGTTATTACTGTGAGTACACTTAAAGGAGTTCGGACATGCGATGGAAAAGTAGTGCACCACGAGTCATCGATAATATTAGTGATTATTTAACCCAACTCAATGCCCATGCGATCCTCAAACAGAAGCGAATGTCTACTGTTACAACTACCAAAGAAAACGATGAAGTCATCAACCGAGCGTCGCAAAACAACCCTGTCAATTTGTCGTATATTCGTTCATTCACGCTTGGTGCGACAGCTGCATCATGCAAAGTAACTCTTCCAGAGCACACCAGAAAGATCCTCGAGCTGGTCCGACGTGAAGGCCTGTTGTGGCGATGTTAGCGAGAGTGACCTTACGGGAGGGCTTGGCGATAGCTTACCTTCGCGTCAATGTGCCACGTATCTTGTCTGGTCTTCTTAAACTCACTGATAATAGACTTGACACTCGACCCGACAATGCCAGGGTCGCTAGCTGCTCGGACGCTCAGTGTGGTTAGAGCATCAGGCATCCACCTGGGCGGTGGACTGCTGTAGGGGAACGCTTGAATGAGCGCCCCAAGTCCCAGGACTGCACCGTGTCTAGAGATGATGAGTCGGGTGTGCTCTGGGGTCGGAGTACCAGCTCCAGAGGAGACTGGCGTTGAGATACCCGAGCGGAGTGCCTTGGGCTTCTTAGGAAGAGGGTTCTCAACCAAGACCTTAGTAAATCGCTTCTTTAGTCTGGCAACCATCTCTTCCCGGAGCAAAATAGGAGAGCAACGGATCATTCCAGACAGGGTGGCAGATGCTCCCACTCTCACCTCATGCTGCGGGTCTTCGAGCATGCTAGCCACGCACTCAAAAAGCTTGTCACGATCGCCCGCAGACAGTAAGAACAGACGACGGAAGTATATGATCTGAATGTTGATCATGACACGCAGACGTTGGTGCCATGAAGGAGATGTCTGCCCGATGTGGATGAGGGTTTTGATAAACTCCGAGTTATGCTCAGCGGGGTATGGAATGTTAGGCAGGTGACGGAAGACGTGGTAGGCCAGGGATTGGAGCTCTGGGTCTTCCTTGACATCCATCATGTGTAGAAGCTGCCCCGTGAACAGATCAGGGAAGAACGACACCAATTGTGTACATTCGTGGGACGAAAGGGTGGAATCAAGCCACAGCAAAACGGTCTTGCATCCAGAAGTATAGGACGAAGGCGTTTGTTGGCCGGGTGTGCGGGCTTGCCGCCATGTCTCAATACGGCTGAAGACTTCACGAATCATCTTGGTAAAATCTTCGGTGGGAAGATAAGGATATGTACCCACGGAAGACGCGGACTTCTGCGCATC